ACGCAGTAACGGAGTTGCTCCTATTTTCAATTCAGAGAAAATAAAATTAACCAGGCACAAATTTTCAAAATAGTCGTTTGTCCTAGTCCCACAAACACAGTTGAGCAAAAACGTTTCGTTAGCTTGTATGCTGATCTCCACAGAGTGATGGTATACGGCAGACCAGACGTAAAGACGGATCTCGAACAGCTCGAAAATTTTCATGCTAGTTTTTGGAAGATCTTAATGCTAGAATCAGCATAGAGTAAATGCCCCTGTTTATATACCACTAGCTGGTGCTTAGACTGCCAATCAAATAACAACTTCAAACAGCTCGAAAACGGCTACTAAAATTTTGCTCGACATACGTTTTTAAATTTAAAAAACTCTATTTAAGATGTTTTTGTCTTAAGGCTCAGATGCAGTCGAAGATTATATTTTGTCCGTTTGGAACAAATTCTGGACAGATATGAGAGCGAAATAGGGAGGAACTGGGCACCACTCAGGTCATGCAAACTAAGTGGCGTGATCCTTTCCCCAAAAAAGGAAACAAGTATTTTGAAAAAATGCTTGAAAGAGAAAAAACTGGACAACGAAGTCTCCCGGACTATGGTTTAAAATCAGAACCTGATCAAAATGTTCCCAAGGTAGCAAACTTTTCAGATCAGATAATCGCTTGTCTCATACTGATTCTATAGAGAAGTTTAACAGCTTTGTTAATTAGTTAGAGTGTAGTGTCTATGAAATTTATCCAATCAGGAACCAGAAAAAAAAATTACATTTTTTGAGTAATTAACTGCCAAAAAACGTTGGGCTTTTAAATACAAGAGAAATATACACAGATTGCTTCAAAGAAACAGAACAGAAAAGATGTTTGAAGGAAGAGTAGGTCAATTGGAAGTGCAACAATTTGAGGACGTTTGTCCAAAACGAGATGTTGGGGAGCGGCTTGAAAAGATTCCAAGGCAAAATATCCTCAGAAAATTGTGCGAAGCCTATATAGTGTTAAGAAAGCTTTCCAGTGGGTTTGCTTAAACTGGGAAAAGAGGAGGAGCAAAAATTTTTTGGGGAATTGCAAGTTTCAGAAGCATTTTGGGAATCGGTTAACAAAAACCCCGACGAGAGAAATATTTGTTGAAAGGTCACTTCTCACAGCGGATAGGGGACCTCCTAAAGATGCAGATGTACAATTAGCTTTGAGAAAAGTGAACACGGTTTAGGCTCCTGGCCAGAGTCAGAAAACGGATTATATTCTTAAGTTGCTCGAGAAGAAAACTCTCAAGCTCTTAGAAGATTTACATTAATAATTGTCTCCGACCATAAATTTATCTTTGGTTTTACAGGAAGGCAGTTTTTCTCAGTTGTTTAAAAAATGAAGCAGAGCAGAGCAGAGCAGTAGCGAGCAATTACCAGAGCATTTTCCTATTAGACCAGATAGGGAAGGCGTTTGCTAAGAGGTTTGTAGCGTTCCACATCAAGCTGATCGCTAAGCTTGATAGGTATAGCCGAGATTTGATGTACGGGTGCATTTGGGGTCCGTTCTTGTCATCATCGTTTTTGACTCCCTCATGTGTCAGAGATTATAGAAAAGACTATTTGCATACGTTGATGATCTCGACCTTATATTTGACGGCAAACAACAGCTATCAATTCACTGATAGAAATAGTGAAACATTTTGAAAATCTGGCAATAAAACTAAAAGTTTTTTATCAGCATCAAAGATAAAATCCTTCTCAATGTGCTAAGCGAACTGGTTAATTAATTTGATTAGCTCAATCATCATGTCAGCTGATGGCAGCGCTCACAAGGATTTTGGAATAGAATAACAATGCTGCATCTTCGACCAACCCTGGTGTCAAGAAGACTGAGGCCCAAGAACAGCCTCCTTATTGAGAATTTTCTACAGCAAAATTTCTTATACTGCTTAGAGACCCTTGTAATCAAATATGTTGATCTTGTTTAAAAAGGGATTGTACAACCTTACAGAATAATCCTGAGGCTAAAATAAAGAAAGAGCATGAAACCATAAGAAATGAATGACAAAATCAAAGGTACGCCAGTTGCGCACCAACTATGCATGAGAAGGTTCCAACTAAACTCTTCCTTTAAAAACATCGGAGTCGATGGCTTGATTGAATTACCTGACGGAGTTGAGGCTTAAAAGGAATGAGCCAGGCAGCTACCGGGAGATCCTGAACGCCACTGGCTCAAGATAAAGTGTGACCAGGACAACTGTTGCACACTCCACTCACCGAACTTAATATCAAAATAGTTGGGATTTTAGAGCTAAATTTATCCGTAAAGGCCACAATCAGTTCAATGTGCCAATAAAAACTGTGACAAAGTTTTTCAGAGCACGAACGAAACATATAGGCATCCCAGATTCAGATGAGAGAAACGTAATATATACGAGTTTTTCTAACACATGAATGCTTTTTTGTAGATTGATTTTTATCGTTTGTTTCAAGATTGTTCTTGTTAGTGAAGCGCTAAAAATCTTCCGAAGAACTTTGGCTGGAACAAAACTATATTTTTTAACTTGAATAAAACTTCGACTAGTTTTTCAGAGTGGTGTCAGACTGACTTCACACAAGCAGCAATTCCAGACTAGTTCTTCTCAACACTGGACAACTCTTCGGAAAAATAATTTCGTTGGTCGAATAACGTTTAAAGGGGTTTGAAAATTTTTGTGGTTCCGCGTTTGGTATAACAAAAAAGGAATTAATTTCAACAAAGAGGCAAGGACGAGTCTCGTATTACTTGCGATACAAGGCAAGTGCAGCATTGCAAGCCAGCGACGACAAAATGAGACGAAAATTACAAAGTTCTCCAAAAAAAATTTTGGAAAAAAGATGAAAATGATTTCAGAAAAACAGTCTAAAAACCACAACCCCCAATTATGAAAAAAAATTTTTTTTTAATTATCAAGCAAACACCGAGCCGACATTAAGTGGCTAGACGCCCTTTGAGTCGAAAACAAAAGAAAGTGATAAAAAGTTTGTTTCACGAAACATTATTGAACAATTAGTTCTTAATGATTTGACTTGATGCAACACAAGCAACCTGATTTTTCCGAACGGATGAACAATTTTTCCAACTCTTAGAAGACGCAAAACAAAAACATTTTAAGTTTATGAAACGTAAGCAGAAATCATTTAGGCTTATTAAAAATTTTAAGCGAAAAAAATAACCAAGGAAAATACTCAACGTCGGAAAATTTAGAAACTCCCGGAAGAAATTGAAAACACGTGACCCTGGTATGATAAAAACAACTAATCAAGGGCATGGAAAGCTTATGATTGAGGCATAATTGGCAACAAAAAATTTTAAGCAATTTTTGCACATTAGTTTCAAATATTTTTTAGAAAAAACTTAGTGCCAACAAAGCGCTAAGTTATACTTCAGAAACTAGTGTTTTTTTGGTAAATTGAGATTACTCAGCCTAAAAGCTTAAATCAAAATTAAATTTATATATAACGAACTTCACTTGATTTTTTTACGTATTTGAAATAAGCCTTAAAGTCGAAAAATTCAAACTAAATTTAACGGCACTGAGAACAGTTTTTGCAAATTTTGACGACTGAAAGTTGTTCGAATCACGACTGAAAGGGCTTTGATTTGATTTATCAATCGATCTACTCCGATGATTTGTTTGTGAAAAACAAAAAAAGCGAAAACGCACCAAAACACACACAGGGCGCCCATGGATCATAATCAATTATATTGTCATAACATGGTCAGTATCAATTAAATTACGAAATAATCAATATTAATCCACTAAAAAAGGGTTATAAACCTAATATTTCGAATGTCAATATAATCCGTTATAATCGAGTATAATCCATTAAAAATGGATTATAATTATAATCCTAATATTTTTCATGCTAATATAATCCATAAAATTGGCTGTAATTGATTATAATGGACTTTTTCGAGAGGTTGATCATAAAATTTGCAACTTTTTTCAAAGTTATCTCATTTTCTGTTTAGTGCAGTTGCTACCTATTACGTTTTATAAAATTACTTTTCAATCTAAAATTTGAAATGTAAAATTTTGTCTCTTCTTTCTCAATTCATATCAGTTTAATTTACCCCCCCCCCCTGCCAGCTTGCAACAAGCGCCATTCGCCCCCTTATGGTTGAACATGGGATAATTATTATTTTTACCCCTCTCCCTCCGTTTAACCCTCCATTTTGGATTATAATGGATTATATTTTTTCAAAAATAATCGATTATATTGGCAATATAATCGATTTCGAGGTCTGAATTTTACATCTTCAATGGAATATAATTGATTATTTTTGTGTCGGGAATCCATTATAATCGATTAAAATCCATGGGCGCTCGTGCCGGTAAACATGGTAAAGAGGGGGTGGAAAAGAGCCGAACATCCTGCCAACTGCTTAGTAACAAAATATTTTTTTTAAAGACAAAGAAATAGGTTCGTATAAAGACAACGCGAAAACGTCCAAATCCATGGATTTTTTCCACTCTTCCTGCCCGCTCCCCCACATCCGCCACATTTGAATCTCAAATATGGATAAATTATTTATCGTTGTCATAATAATGCAATAAGTAATGCAATGAATTTTTGGTTTTTTCTTTTTCCCCCGCCTGCAATTTTTTACTAGTAAAGTTACTGTTCACATTGTCCGATCGTTATGAAAACTGACATGCGGACTTATTAAGCTGTGCTAAACATATTTGGTATCTTTAAGTAACCTTGTAAAACCACTCGCTACACGATAAAATTGATGAAGGAGTGAGGCGTGGGGGGCGGGGGGGATGAGGAGGAAAAAGAGCCAAATAATTTTTTAAAACATTTGTTCCTTACGATATTCTGACTGGGTGTTGTGGAAACACGTGCGGCAGAGTGAAAACTTTGTATAAATAAATGACTATTTAATTATTTACCACTAAATGACAATGTAACTAATTAATTTTAAAAATACAATGACTGAAGTGTTGTTTTTTTGACACGTGCGAAAAAAGCGGATAGATCAAATTCGAATTGGATAAGCTTACCTTACACTTAACCAGAGGCAGGGTACGAGTAGACGGGGTTCCGGGTATACTTCAGCTTGGGTCGCAATAATTAAGGTGAGCTATCTTTGGATCTTGTTACTCTCTAAGGAAGAAACTCATTCCAAAAATCTTACTTGCTTGAGCCCTTTAATAACACAAACATTTGACTCTCGGACAACCCAAACAACGTTTGGCCTTAGCGTTTCAAATAACAATCCTAATTGAGTTAAGGTTCGGGGTGGCCTTCTCATAGAGTAATTTCAGATGTAGACCGTCTATTCGTCACGTTATCCTTTTTTCGACCATATAGATTCCTGCAACTTCTTAGTTTAATACCGATTCTAATCTTACTCTTATGTTTTGTTTCCTAGTCTCAATAAATTGGCTCTTTTCCAGTCCCCCCTTTGATTTTTTTGAAATTCAATAGATGAAAGTCTATTTAAAATAATTTTTTATGTTATAAATTGCATCAAAACGTTTCAGCGTGAACAGGTGAACAAAATTCTAAAAGATTTCTAACATACAAATCGCCGTGTGAACAATTTTTGAACAGTTTGTTTTGTAATTTTGCGAGGGGTGTTGAAAACTGGAAAAGAGCCAACAAATCTTGTATATACTGGTGCTCTTACAAGGTTAGAGGAGAAAAAAGAGTTATAAAACATAGAGTTTCGCGTCACTTGCGATACAACAAAAAAAACTAAGTGAAAGGTATGTCTCGATAAAAACAATTAAAGGGTACGGGTTTGATATTGAACAAATTTACTATACTGATGCGGCACAAAAAAAAATTATGTTCGAAAAATGGATTTAGCACAAAATCTTACTAGTTTCTCAAATAAAATAAATGAGAAGAGAAATTTTTTCTGAGATAGTCAATTTTACCAAAGAGATAACAATTTTCTTACAAGACACTAAGTAGTTACCGCTTCTGCAGGACTAATTATCGCCGGTTCTTTCAATTAAACTTTCATTTCAGATTTGATTGTAAAGTCTATGAGAAAATTCAAAAATTTTCTGAAGAACAATCAAAAGACTTTAAACACCTCTAAAGACTTTACAAAATCTATATATTTTTTTCGGTATAAATTAGTTTGTGGCTATTCAATCAGAAAAATTCCCAAAACTGGGTTTTTTGATTGAACACAACCCGAAAACTGGCACGGTAGTTTTTGCGAAAAGTCAAAAAGTTTCCAAAAAACTGTCAAACTTTTAAAACTTTGACTTGTTTGATAGCCATAACTATTTTTTTTAAACAAACTAGGCAAAGAAATTCAAAGAAAAGGCTTTCAACAATCTGTTCTTTTGATTGAACCTATGATATCAGATTTGGCGGGATCGTTAGCAAGAAAAAGACCAAAAAACGCTCAACCAATCATAAATGTGACATTTCCGAAAATCATAGCTTTTTGTGTGAAAAATAGGACATAGCTGTTTATGCACAGGAAATTCACGTACCCTGTAATTTCGATTGAGCCCAAAATCTCCATTTTGCGAGGATAACTCGAGAAAAGGCAAAAAATTTCGAAAAAACGGTCAAAAAATCAAAACTTTTACTTTTCGGAGGGCCATAACTTCTGGTGTCAGAAAAATTTGGTATCTGTGCGTAACTGGATAGGCAAATGAGTTTCTCACAACTCGTTTTTGAGTTAAACCCAAAATCTCAGATATGGCAGGGTAGTTTTTGAGATTATTCAAAAAAGTTTATAAATGGTCAATAATCAAAATTTTGACCTTTTCGAGGCTAATAATATCTTGTGTATAAAATTTTGTGAGTGGCCCTTAATGCAGGAGTTTTCCACTACTCGTTTTTTTCATTGAACCCACAATATCAGATTTGAGACTTTTGTTTTTGACAAAAGTCGAAAAAGCTCACAAAACGATCAAAAATCCAAAATTTAAATCTTATGAAGGTCATAACTCTGTGTTAAACAAACCCGTTCTGTCTATTGAAAACAAAAACTCAAGTGTAATTTTTAAAAATTGAAAAAATGAAGAAAAAAATGGGTCAAATATTCTCCCACAGACTTTTTTGAAGGCTGTAGACAGAGGGGTCAAGAAAAAAGGGATTCTAGCGGAGTATGCAGGCACAGGGGAGTAGACAGTTTTTCAATTATTACCGTTTTTAAAAAAAAATTAGTAGAGGTTTTGCTAATTACAAGTTTTTTGGCTATTAGTAGAAAATTAGTGGAAGTTTTTGGGAATAGTTTTTCATAAAGACAAAAACCAATAAAACTAAACAAAGCGATTAGTAAACATAAAACAATTTTGAAAAATGCGGAGGGAAGTGCTAAAATTGTCTCCTCCCTAAAACTACCTAAAATTAGCTCAAAAATCCGATAAAAAGGTGCCGAAAAACTTTGAACCGAGGAATTTTGTTAGCGAAACAAAAAAAACAAAGTCAGGAAAATTAACGCGCAATATATTTCGTGGTATTAACGCGTAAGCAGTTATTTGATTCCTGCTCAAAATTAAAATTGTTTTAAACTAAACTGAGCTATATTTGGACGATTCAATGCTTTGCTATAAGCGAACTAGACTTTTGCACTTTACATGGAGTGTGAGGGAATGGTCAAAAAATGTAGAAAGAAATTAACATTTTTTAAATGTTTTTGATAATTTAAACATTTTTTAAACCAGAATACTACCCCAACGAACTTAAAAGGCAGTCAAAACCTTCAAAGTGTTGCCATAATGCGAGCAGTCTTGTTTAAAATCGATTTTCAATTGAGGCGAAAGTTGCAAGACTGGCGACAAAAATTGGAAACACGCATTTGATTTGTCCCTATCAAGTTGAACCCAGAATTTAAACTTTCAAAGATATCAGGCCGACAGGTTTTCAAGCCGAATTGTAAAACAAGGCTCTACAAGCCGAACATATTATCAAAAGATCGTGAATGATTATTAATTTGAAAACTGTTTTAAAGATTTCTCAAATTCATGAGCTTTCCTTCCAAGTTATTGGCTTTTTCATGATTTTTGAAACAGGCTTGCGAAGTTATGTACATGCTCTTTTTATGTAATGAGCTTATGCATTCTGAAATGCGGTTGCTCTAAAAATCTGATGTCACTTTTAAGTAATGCATTGTTAAGAAGAACGCTTATTATGAACTAAACAAAGTTTTAGCTGACAGGTTTTATGGCAGCTAGGAACATGAAAAAACATATTAAAAATACGGATAAAAAAGCAATAGTAATGCAAACTAACAAACAGAAATTGAAATGAAAACCGCTACCGCGTAGACAAAAAACTTAAAATGTCGAGTAAAGCGAAATCTACCAAAGTTGTCATACCTTTCACTCAATTTGTTTAAAAAGTAAATAAAAAACTGAAAAAGAAACCACTATAAAAACCACACAAAGTGAAACTGAACGTTATATTTGTATCAAAACAAACGTTACGAATGTTAAAATAAACATTAAAAAAACAATATCGACTAGAGAACTTTTTGATCTGCAGTCCAAAAAGCTCAGAAGGATCAAAGTCCGTTGTTTGAGAAACTGATTCAGTGATTCTGTTTGATAAATGGTTAACACGAAAAACACTTTAGTTCGTAATTGATAATGCTTGCTAATCGCGAGCCTAATACTACCATACATATTGATTCCAATCGCAATAAGCGACGAAGCAAAAACTTCTGAAAAGTTCAAAAGGATAAACTTTTTTTCCAAACAGCAGCAAAAAATTTTGTAACTTGCCTTATTTTCTAATGGCGCGTTTGGTTGAAAAAAATTATGAAACTTCCTTTGCTTTATTTAAAAACATGTACTAGTTAAGAAAAAAATTTCAGTTTTCATAAAAAATTCAAATTATTAGCTTAAGTTTTTTAATTAAGTTTTTATTAAAAAATCATAGTTTAGAAAAAAATATCCCGGCCATATTTAAACACTAAGCTTCTAAAGTTTCATGCATGTGGGTAACCTCTACAACAGATGCCCTGAATGGTTGATTAATTTGAATTTATCTTGTAACAAGTTGAAACACGAGTAACATTTTTACGTGCGAAATATTGTGAACAAAAATTTTTACGGAAACAAGTCTAGCAACAGGTTGCAAATTCCTTGCTGAAAGCAATGGTAAAAACCTTCAATAGTTTCCTTTCAAAAATATAGGAGGAATTAGAGCCAAGTTTTATTTTATTTTTTAGAACATGTTTCATTTTGGGAAAAAAAAACTTTTGTTTATGTGTATCATTCAGGGTGGCTGGTAAAACTTATCTTCCATGCACAGAAAACTCTAATTCTTTTGTTTGCTCAAGCATGAAAAATAAAAAATAGATTTTTTTGGCCCTCGCCCTTGCAAATTATCAACTAACCAGTAGAAAACCGCATGTACATTTGATTAGTGTTTTTATACGCTAATAAAGTAGACTTCAAACCTATCAAAATTAAAACAAAACACACCATTATTTTCATAAACACGCTGTGGTCAGTTTCTGGGGAAGACTTTAAAAAATCAGTTTCAAAACTTTTAGTCTAGTCTGTGGCGTAGAGCTTAAGATTTACGTAAGTTTTTGAAAGTTTTCTTTTTGAGAACAGCTTGGGGACGTGAAGACCTTTTCTCTTAACAAGTGCTTTTGTTAAGTCAGTGACTTTTCAAGACAAATTGCTTGCCTGAAAAATGTCATGGATCCGATTTAGTAACGTGTGCTAATTACAAGCGTAGACAACCTTTTTCAAAAAAAACCTTGGGAAGCATCTATACAAAAAAATGCTATGGCACACGAACAATATGAAGTATGCCATTCGGAAGTTAAATCGACAGAGTTTCTACCAAGAACAAGGTTGGCAAAAAAAAATAATTTTTTGTCATAACAGTGAAGGTAAAAAGTTTAGAAACAGAGGCGAAGCTGAGCTTCGCACCACTTGAGATACAAAAACAGAAAGCCTCTGAGAAAAAAAAATTAAAAATTCTACACGAAAGTTCACGCCACCATTTTTTTCGACTGAGCCCTCAATCTCAGATTTGGCAGTGTAGTTTTCGAGACAAGTAGAAAAATTTCCAAAAAATAGTTCCAAATCTAAACAATTTTAACTTTTGAATGTGCAAAGGTAGTAGCTTCTACATCCATTAATAT